AGTCAGAACGAAGCCAAATTTGGTTAACAAAGGGTTTATTAAGTGTACTAACGATTTCAAGCACGCTAAACCATTTTAAAACAATTTAACACCTTTTAAAAATAGTGAAAACGGAGCTGTCAAAAACATCGCTAAGCGAAACAGGGGGACCTAAACTGTCATCGCTAAGCGAAGCAAGGTCCCGAACATCACTATGCTAAATTCCCCCATTGGAAACATCGCTAAACGGAGCGCCAGATCACTTCTAAAACCTCATTGCTAAGCGAATACATTGTTAAACGAGGCAATCGCTAAGCGAGGCACCACTGAAATTTGTTTGTGGGTGGCTGTTTTTCTTCTTCAGTTCGGTGTTGTTTTCTTGGTTTCATGGCTCTTGTGATTTCATTTTTGGAGTAGCCATTTGCCTGTCAGGCCAAATTCAAACCATCTGAACTGGATATAAAGGAGATGAGTTGATGTGTTTTTATGAAATTTAATGCTGAAAACAGCACCTGGCCAAGTGCAGCAACGTTGAACTTGGACTAGCAAGATCTGGATTCAGGTCTCCACTCATCTATGAGTCTATAATACTCCTTTTCCAAAAAAAGAAAAAAGAAAAAGAAACCCAAACTATCAAGTCTTTTTTTTAAAGAAGGCATTTTCAGATGTCCTTTTAGAAGGAGCTGAAAGATTGCCCACCATTCAAGAGAAGCCTTTTAAGCAGCAGGACGTGGTACCCCTGAACATGTGCAGAGTGCTTCTCTTCACCAGTTCACCCTCCCTAAGGAGAACCAGCAATCCTTCTGCTGCCCCGGCATGTCTGCTCATTCCTAGCCACCCACCCCATGCCCATCTTCACCCCTTTCCTCTAACATAGGTTTTGTTTCCCTGCTACGGACACAAATCGGATTTGCGGTCCAGATTTTGCAGTGAGAAATCCATCTTTTATCAGAATATCATCTGGAAGGGTGTGTGTGAGGGCAACACACAAAACCCACTTTATTCTCAGAGAGAGCTTGCTTTTTCTTGGTGGCCCACCCCGCCCTCTCCTTCGGACAATCGGTCCGAACAATGTGGCCAAACCCCCCCCTCCCCGTCCACTCCTGAGGACTGCACTTTCCTTTGGGACCACTCCTTTATCCTGTCCCTTCCCTCAGCACCTCCCAGTGCCTGCAGATGTTTAGACAAGCCTGGGTGGATTCGGAGATGGCGATCCCACCCACCCCCTCCGGGAACAGAAAGTGCGCGTGGAAAGGAACGCAGCGTCCCGTTTGGGTTAGGCTCATTCAAAGGTTCAACCTTGGGTGAAAGGGAAGGGGGAATCCCGAGATGATGCTCTCTTTTTAAAACTGAGGAAAAGTGGCACTTTAAAAAAACGGACTTTTATTTGGCAAAAGGGCTTCAGTGGACTTTGCCCAAATCTCTAGAGAGGCTGCAGTTTAGGACACCTTTGGATAGGCAACGCTTTCAGCTCTGTTGGTTTTGTAGCTGAAGACGAATGGGGCCTTTTGTGGTTTAGTCGTTAAGCTGATCAGCTGTTTTAAAATCGTAATTTAGCAAAGAATCGGTTCCTGAAGCAGGGAACCGATCATCGTAAAGCGAATTTTCCCCATTTAAACATTGTTTAATGATCGCAATAGCAATTGCAAAAACCACATTGTAAAGTGGATTCATCGTGGAGCAGGGTAATCATCAAGCGGGGCACTACTGTCAAGCGGGGCACTACTGTAATTAAAATCATCCTCATAGGTGGTTATCATAAGGTAGACTTCCACAACGTGGTCAGTTCTGGATCTGTTGCTCGACCTCTCCCATCACCCAACACCACGTGGCCCATGGAATTGTAGTCCACAACCTGTGAAGGGCACCGGCATTGGAAAAAGTCACTATAAGGATTAAAAATGGAGTGCACAAGAAGCACCTTGAATTAAACCGGCGATGATGATGATTGTAGAAAGTTTACAGGCAGCTAGAGTTTGCTGGAAATTACCTTTTGGACTGAAACCCCCAGCGTAGCCACTGGGGATTTGCGAATTCTCATCAAGTACTATGTTATAGTTCAGATTCTGAATGTTTTGATCCCCTAGGTGTGTGGGTGTGTGGATTCTGGGAGTTGTCGTCCCCAAAAAGTAACTTTCCTGAAGCTCTAGAAACAAGCCTGTTTATCATCTGGAGCATCTCGAGACTGTAGTCATAATCTAAGCTTTGAACACGCTCTCTGAGGAAGAGAAGGGAGCGACCCGTTCATTGTGATCAGACCTTGTGCCCACACCCTCTTGTGCTTTTTTTGTGGGGTGTGTGTGTGTGTGTAGAATGTGTCCTTTGTGTGCGGGAGGGCGAAGCGGACCCACCCTGGATCGGCGACAGGGCCCTGCGGGAGTTGCTATTCCTGTAACTCAGATAAAGAGTGGCACAAACGCCATTGAGGAGACACTACGCTGGCCTGATCTGGCTTGTGATTTTAAGAGGCCATGGCTTTTTGGCTAGTCACCCTGTCTCTTGACTGTGCCATCTATAGAGGAAAGAGAGAGGTAGTGTAGGAGATATATAGAGGTATTTAAAAATGGCCAGTCCTCCTCTTGCACTGGGAAATAGTTCTTCCTCAAAGCTGTTCCTAAGACAATGCGCTAGAGCATGGACACCCATGAGTCCATAAATAAGACCTCGAATGGAGAGAAGCATCTAAGGGATGGCTATAGTTGCTGTCGCTGCCCTGGAATGACGCTTCTCAGCTGTATTAGCGCCCTCCCTCTCACCCATCCACAACTGGCTTCTTCTTGCAGAACAGGACGTTCTTGTCTTCTGCTGTTTCTCCAAGATGGTGAACAGGAGGAGGATAAAGGAGATAAAGAGGTTTCGCGCCTGACATATGTGGCAGCTGTCAGAACTGAGAGTGGCTAAGCCACCCAGAGAGTTCTCTGCACATCAAGAGTCATTCTCGGTTTCTGTGCGAGCCAATGCTTCTCTGCTTTTGGAGGAATACACCATCGACATTATCTTCATGTTGGGACGGGGTTCTAGGTCCTTCTACGTTATGTGTACCCAGTGGATATTCTCCAAGGCTACGGTCAAGCTCTTGTGGGTGTCTACGGTGGCTCTTTCGAGATCTTGTTAAGGATCACAATATCCGTGGAGATCCACCCCTGACTATTACAAGTTGTTCTCTTTTTTCTCTACAGGAGAGCTTAGAGAACATTGCTCTGAAGGACTCTCTCATGAACGTCTTCTGCAAAGCCGTGAAACCCAACTTCAACCAGAGCCGGGATGTGTGTACAGCAAATATGGCTCCCGTCGCTGGCCACCCTCAAAAACTGGCAGTCCTTAGCGTATCTGTGACGTGTAGGTACTGAGCACAGCTCTGAGAGATGATTAGACTAGAATGAGGAAGCTTCACTTCTCTGCTATGCTGTCCCATACAGTGGTGCCTCGCTTAACAACGACTCCCACCGACCCCCCAAATCTAGGAGAGCTGTCAAGATTTCCAAACCAGGCATACGCCAGACCTGAGAATAGGGCCGGCGCTACCGTTGGGGAGAAGGAGGCAAGCGAAACGAAAAAGCCCATTGAAGTGCATTGAAACCAGTTCAATGCGTTCCAATGGGCTAAATACCTTAACATCCAGCGAAGATCTTTAATAGGGCCGCCATTTTCGGTGCCTGTAAAGCAAGGAATCTGTCCTGAAAACACAGTGGGGAGCCATTTTGCACAGCGGGCGGCCATTTTAGAGCCGCCAATCAGCTGTTTCAAAATTGTCGTTTAGCGAAAAATCGGTTCCTGAAGCAGGCAATTGATCATCGTTAAGCGAATTTTTACCATTAAAACATTTTGCGATCGCAAAACGATCGCAAACACTTCATCATCAAGTGGTTTTGTCATTTAATGTGGAGGGCCCATACATTCCACCTCCCACCGACCCCCCAAATCTAGGAGAGCTGTCAAGATTTCCAAGCCAGGCATACGCCAGACCTGAGAACAGGGCCGGCACTACCGTTGGGGAAAAGGAGGCAGTCGCCTCAAACAAGGTGTAGGTAGGCGGTGGGAAGCGAAGTATGCCCTTCTCTTGCTGACTAGTCTGGCACTTATTCCTCTGCTCCATTGCTCCTTAAGATCTGGTCGTTGGGCATGAAGCTTGTGGTTCAGCACTATAGCCCTTCCCTTGCTGACTAATCTGGCACTTGTTCCTCAACTTCATTGCTCCTTAAGATCTGATCATTGGGCATGAAGCTTGTGGTTCAGCACTATGACTAGGAGGTGCAGAGATGAGAGAAGTTACTTCTTTGGCCAGAAACAGTAATTTTCCCCACCTCTGAGTTGTAGTGGGAGCTGGGAGGTGAACAGCATCAGTGTTGCTTTTTCCTGAGCCCCCAAACATGTTTATAAAGAAGTAGAGATGGGGGCTTTGTATTCATACCCCAGGGGATACAGATACGAAGTTCGGCACCACAAGTGTGGCCGGGGTGGTCCATTCCTTGCCCCCGCCCAGAACCAACCCGGTCTACTCATTGGGTTCCTCCCAGCACGACGTCCATCAGCGGTGACATCACCCCAATCGCGCATGTAATCCTACTGGCGCTTCCTCAGCCGACCGCTCAGCAGCTGAGCGGGGAAGTTTCGTCCTTCTGCCTTCGCAGAGGAGATACGAATACAAAGCTCCCGTCTCTGTTTAGAAGACAGTTCAGGATTCGTGACTCATGGCTGGAGACATCTCCTTGCGTGCAAACTCCTTCCCAGAGTGAGAGGCATACTTGCTTTCTCAGATAGTAAAGTGCTCTGCACATGCTCTGAGAGACTGTCCTTATTATTGCACTGGGGCTACAGTCAAGGTCTCGTGAGTGTCTATATTGTCGATTTAGAGATCCTGCAAGGCGCTCTGCACATGCTCTGAGTGACTCTCCTTATTATTGCACCGTAATATTTTCCGGGGCTACAGTCAAGGTCTCGTGAGTGTCTATATTGTCGATTTAGAGATCCTGGCCCAGCTATAGAATCAGCATAATTGTAACTGGCTGAAGACAATGGATATAATCACATAATGTGCCTTTCAGCAGTAAACAACAGAATGTACCCTCTCAAATTAAACACCAAAGTTTGCCTCTGCATGAAATTTGCTGTGTGTGTTTGTAAAATGGAAACAGCCAGAACTCAGAGTTTTGTTTAACTGCCACCCGGCCAGCTATGCCCTTTCCCGGATAACTCTTCTCTTCTCGTACACACATGCCCGATTTCCCCCATTCTTTCCTCGGCCACAGACCATCAGCACAATGTAGCTTCTGAGCATGTTCAGTCTGTCTAAATACATTTTGTACTTCTGCATGCATACCTAATCTGATGGCTTTTTGCAGTGTCTGTATTTTGGCTACCATCCTGTTGGCATTCAGTATCTTAGTTCATTCTTGGAGGGATGGTTAAAACTAACCTAAGGGTATGGCCCAGACTCTTAAAAAAATTACTTTTGTGAACTACAGATTCTGTGATTTGTCATTTGCAAAAGGACCCCCCCCCGCCGCCGGTACTGTGCCCATGCTAACAACCTGTGAGAAATTCACGAAATGTTGTAGCCATAAGAAAATGAACAGAAAGTGGGGCTGAATTTATTTGACTTTTTTTTTTTGCATTGCATTAAAAGCCTCTGGAACAGAAGGATTTGTATCTTCAGTTGAATTCACTGAAATAATAGTGTTTCTCTTCTCCCGGCTTCCCCTTTCCCCTTTGTTTACTTGAATTAGTATGTTTGCTGGGCGAGGAATTATCTGAATCTCTGGCCGTGAAGAAGGCAGAACTGGAAAAGGTAAGGACAGAAAACACTTCAGAGAACTTTGTTCCTTAAATTTTGGATTACAACTCCCGTCCGCCTTGCCAAACATGTCCAATGTAAGGGGCAGAGAGAGCTGGTATTCTTTTGGCCAATTCAGGTTATGAAAGTGGATCTTATTCAGGCATAGCTCAGTAGGTTAAGGTCTATGGCTGTGGACCGAAGGGTTGGGAGTTCAAATCCCTCACTAGGCCTCCTTGGAAGTAGCTGGACTCAGTGACTGGCTGTGGAGCGAAGGGTTGGGAGTTCGAATCCCTCACTGGGCCTCCTTGGAAGTAGCTGGACTCAGTGACCCCTCACGTCCCTTCCAGCTGTGCAGTTCTAAGATAATGTTTAGTAATATTCTATTATGATCATCAGAAATGTTCTAGTGAACAGACCAAAGCAAGCTTTCCCAAACTTGGTTTCCTCTCTTTTGGCCTATCCATCATCCTTCACTACTTGCCCTTCTTTAGTAATATTCTATTGTGATCATCAGAAATGTTCTAGTGAACAGACGAAAGAAAGCTTTCCCAAACTTGGTTTCCTCTCTTTTGGCCTAGCCATCATCCTTCACTACTTGCCCTTCTGGCTTAGGGGTGCTGGATGTTGGCAGGCCAACCCATCGGGAGCAGCACGCACTGAGGAAAACTGGTTCTGTAGGGATTTGCAGCTCAGTCGCTCAACTTCAGAGATCTCAAATCCCATCTTGGGCCTTGGTCGTTGCCTGAAACGGCCAGCCCATCCTTCAACATTCCCATCCGTTGTGAAGGCAATGGACGCACAACATGTGTGAAGGCCAGGCCCTCCCTTAATTTTGCCAATATGCTGAGGCAGACTAACACAACTACTTAGAATCACAGAATGCTTGACTTTGAAGGGGCCTCTAAGACCATTGAGTCCAACCCCCCGGCCCCAGGCAGGAATCCAAGTCAAAGCAGATCCGACAGAGGGTTTGTCCAAATTTCTCTTGAATGCCTCCAATGTTGGAGTCCTCACTAACACTTCCCCCTGAGGTCATGGGTCCCATTGTCATACAGTTAAGAAGTTTCTCTTGATATTCAGGATAAATCTGGCTTCCTGTAGCTTGCCACCATGATCGAAAACCCCAAAAAAGAGGGGCGTCCTTCGGATGTTTGGTATCAAGGAGAGGTGGCTTTTCCTTCCTTATGTTTGGTCACTCCCTACGCCTCTCCATAGGGTCTATTCAGCACTGGTTCATCCTCGCCTTTAGTCTTGTGTCTAGTTCTGGACACCACACTCAGGATAAATCTGGCTTCCTGTAGCTTGCCACCATGATCGAAAACCCCAAAAAAGAGGGGCGTCCTTCGGATGTTTGGTATCAAGGAGAGGTGGCTTTTCCTTCCTTATGTTTGGTCACTCCCTACGCCTCTCCATAGGGTCTATTCAGCACTGGTTCATCCTCGCCTTTAGTCTTGTGTCTAGTTCTGGACACCACACTTCAAGGAAGATGCAAACAAATTGGAACAAGTTCAGAGGAGGGTGACATGGATGATCAGGAGGCTGGAAAAGAAGCCCCATGAGGAAAGGCTGAAAGAATTGGGCATGTTTTGCCTTGAGGAAAGAAGACGGAGGGGAGATAGGAGAGCACTTTTCAAATATTTGGAAGGTTCTCATACAGAGGAAGGGCAGGATCTATTCTCGATCATCCCAGAGTGCAGGACACACAGCAATGGGCTCAAGTTAAAGGAAGCCAGATTTCGATTGAATATCTGGAAAAACTTCCTAACTGTTAGAGCAGTACGACAATGGAATCCATGACCTCAGGAGGTGGTGAGCGCTCCAACACTAGAGGCATTCAAGAGAAACTTAGATAATCACCTGGTAGATATGCTTTGATTTAGATTCCTGCCTTGAACGGGGGTTGGACTGGATGGCCTCGTAGGCCCCTTCCAACGTCACTTTTCAATGATTTCTATGAAAAACCTTCAAGAAACGGAGACACTTCGTTCCTTTTTTTGCTGTATAGGAATGGGAGCTGAAGGCTCTGAACAGGGTTCGTCTAGCGTTGCCTTGGCAACCAGGCAGGAGGCCTGTACCCAGATTTTACCTGTTGGAATGATTTCTATGAAAAACCGTCAAGAAATGGAGACACTTTTCGTTCCTGGTTTGCTCTATAGGAATGGGAGCTGAAGGCTCTGAACAGGGTTCGTCTAGCGTTGCCTTGGCAACCAGGCAGGAGGCCTGTACCCAGATTTTACCTGTTGGATGCAAGGACTTTGCTTTGTGACTTGTCAAGCAAAAACGGGGATTTTCTGAATGAGACGCACCAAGGAGGATGAGACCAAGTAGCTGAGTTCCCATATATATGTCCGGTCCCAAATACAGTGGTGCCTCGCATTGCGACGTTAATTCGTTCCGCAGAAATCGCTGCAGAATGAAAATGCCGCAATGCGAAATAAAAAGGCCCATAGAAACGCATTGAAACCCCTTCGATGCGTTCCTATGGGCTGAAAACTCACCGATCAGCGAAGGTCCTCCATAGCACGGCCATTTTCAGTGCCTCTTAAGCGAGGAATCCGTCCTGGAAAACAGCGGGTGACCATTTTGTTTACCTGGTGGCCATTTTGAAACCGCCGATCAGCTGTTTTAAAATCGTTGCTTTGCGATGCTCGGTTCCCAAAGCAGGGAACCGATCATCGTAAAGCGAAATTCCCCTGTATAGGGAACATCGCAAAGCGATCGCTTTTGCGATCGCAAAACATGCGTCGCAAAGCGATTTCATTGCTAAAATTCCCCCATAGGGAACATCACAAAGCGATCGCTTTTTTGATTGCAAAAAATGCGTCGCAAAGCGATTTCATTGCTAAACGGAGCGATCGCTATGCGAGGCACCACTGTAACCCTGGATGTCGGGAAGCAGATATTTGATCCTTTGCCCCACTCGTGCGGGACTCATGTTTTGCCTTTGTCTTTCAAGAACCAGGAAATCGAGTGCAGGGAATAAAATCCATATAGGATGAGGGTATTTTTGCTTTCGCTCCAACAGTAGCCTTTAATGCTGCAAGGGCAAATGTTCTAAATGTCAGGCTTTTTCTGAGGTTCAAAATGCATGAGGGTGGGGGTTGCAGGTTGGCATTCAAAAAGGAAATGCAAGGGAAACAGGGAGGGCAACAGGGAGGACCCTGATGGTCCTACTTGGTAAGAGTGTCTGATTAGGAATGAAGGGAGACTCAGATTGTAGTCCCCGCCGAGCCACTAACCAAACCTTGGTCTACAACAGTGGTTCTTAACCTTGGGTTACTCAGGTGTTTTTGGACTGCAACTCCCAGAAGCCTTCGCCACCAGCTGTGCTAGCTGGGGTTTCTGGGAGTTGCAGTTCAAAAACACCTGAGTAACCCAAGGTTAAGAACCACTGGTCTACTAGACTGTTGTGAAAGTCAAGTTGGGCTCTCGTTGTTTTGATCTCTATACCGCCCCCATCGTGCTTTTAAAACTGGGTAGTTTACAGTTTAATTATAGAAGCTCTACCCTAATACTCTGGGTACTCCGTTTATCGGCCTCAGAAGGATGGAAGGCTGAGTCAAGAGCGAACTCAGGTCTTGACTGCAGGAGTGCAGTTTGACCACCGTGTCATGGGTGAAGGGGGCAAGTCTGTGCAAGTTGCCGTGGGCTCCCTGGACAAAAAAAGCAGGAGAGAAATGTAATGATCAAGTATATATTAAATCGAGAGAGTATCTTGACAAGTTCTTGCGGTCCTGTCCTTTCCTGTCCTCTTCTTTCAACAGCTTGGCTTCAGCAACTTCACCTATGGTGGCAAAACCCCGGACATCGATGGGGAAGACCGCTTTGGCATGCCCTTGATCATCACCATCGTCTGCATGGCGGCCTCCCTGCTCCTGGTGGCTGCCATCTATGGCTGTTGCCACCAACGCATCTCGCGGAGAAAAGACCAGGTAACCGTTCTTTTATGTGAGCATGGAAATGTGTGCTTCATGAATCCCGTTGGTTGCTAAACCGGTGCCTTAATGGCTGATGGTCGGATTCCAAAGGATCTCCTGGATGGAGAATGAGTGCAGGGGAATTGCCCCAGAGGGAGACCACAGCTGCGATACAAGGAGATCTGCAAGCGGGATCTGAAGCCTTAGGAATGGACCTCAACCGATGGGGAATGTTGACCTCTAAGCCTTCAGCCTGGAGGCAGGCAGTGCATCATGGCCTCTCCCAATTTGAAGAGACCCTTGTCCAGCAGGCCAAGTCAAAGAGGCAGTCCCGAAAGCAGCAAAACCAGGGAGCTGGACAGGGGACAGACTGTATTTGTCTTCAGGGTGGAAGGGATGAATAAGATCCACTTCTCAGCCACACTAGATGCTGTTCCAAGACCTCCATTCAGAGCATGTTACCATCATCTCTCGAGATGTAGGAATGCCTAATCTAATCTAAAAAAAACTGGCCTCTTCCGGCCACCCGGCAATGGCTTGCCTGTTCCCTTTGTTTGGAGGCATCTGTGTCCATCTTGGGAAACCAAGGAGGATCCAGGAGCTTCAAAAAGATTCATGTTTTTAACTACGACCTTGAGAATGCCCCGTGTTTGTTCCTCCTACGGGATTTCGGGAGTTGTAGAAAGCTGACTAGATAGCTCAGTGGTTTAGGTCTCTGTCGGCAGAGCCAAAGGTTGGGAGTTCGATTCCCCTGCACTGGCAGTGGAAGGATCAGAAAAAGGTGGAAATCGATCTATCGATCTATCTAATCCATAGTATTTCTTATTTTTTGATCTTATCTATATTCTCTTTCTTTCTTTTTTCTATATCGATCTATCGATCAGTCTATAAATCTATTGATCTAATCCATATTTTTTACTTTTTCATCTTCTCTATCTATCTATCTATCTATCTATCTATCTATCTTCTACCTACCTACCTACCTACCTACCTACCTACCTACCTACCTACCTACCTACCTACCTACCTACCTACCTGCCATTACTCTGGGTGGCAAACAAGTCCTAATAACGCAATACAAAACCCCAATAACACCCACATAATGGATAGATGTGGCACAGAATAACAAAAAACAAAATACCTAGTTTAAAAAAGATTATAAAATATTAGATACAATAAATGAAAGCAGAGCAGGAAAACAAACAGAGGAGGCGGGGGGGAAAGTAGCCCCATCGATCAGCAAGTTTACTCTAGGATAAGGCCATCGAAGGCTTGTGAGACAAGCCAGGGGTTCACTTGTCTCCTGAAACCCAGGAGGGAATGGGGCTAACCGCGCCGCCGGTGGGCACGAGTTCCAAAGTGATGGACCCACCACTGAAAAGGCCCAGTTTCGAGTGACAGATTTTCGGGCCTCCCCTGAGGTTGCTACCCACAACATCCCGGTGTATGAGGTGGGGGTGGGATAGGCGTTTTGAGGGTGAAGCAGTCAGACAGGCAGACAGGCTCTCAACTGTTAAGGGCTTCAAATGTTTGCAGAAGCACTTTGAATTTGGCCCAGAAGCCTACAGGCAGAACAGTGCAAATGCCCCCCCAGACAGGAGAAATGGGGTCGAAGGGTGGCCTTCCAGAAATCAGCCTGGCTGCTGCCTTGTTGCCGCTTCTGAGCCGCCTTCAAAGGCTGCTCAGCGTCGAGAACGTTGCCTCTGTCTGTTCTCGCGATTACAAGCGCACGGACCCCTTGTTTGTTTGGGACGTCTTGTCAAGGTAGGGGCGAAGCTGCGTGATCGGCCTCAGAGGTAGAAGATGGAGAAGAATTCTGGAACGGCCATCCTTGAAATTGCTACCACGTTCCCCAATCCCTTCCATTCTGGGTGGTCTCTTAATGAAGTGAAAAAAACAGGAGGACGGGTTTCATTCATGATCCATCTGCATTTAGTGATTTGCAGCAGACGGCCACAAGAGGGCAGGAGGTCCACGTCGTTCAGAAGGAAATCATCCTGCCATTGCCACTCCTCGGGAAGAGTGTTGCTTTATTTGACACCAGCTTCCAGAGTCCAACACAGACTGCTGGAAGAGGCAATGAAGAGACCCGGAGCAATCTTTTCAAACGAAAGGAGTTGACCTTCGAACGGCAGGTGTCGCTCAATGTAAGCCGGTCCTGTCAAAGCAAGCAGGAATCTGAGCAGGTGATGGCCAACGAGGACATGGCTGAATGAAGACGTCGATCTCATGCTCAGCAGCTGTGGAAACGACAAATCCATTTTGGAGATCGTGGGAAGGCATCCAAAGAAAGCCGACAAATGTCGTGGCCGCCAATCCTCTGAGTCTAGGCACGATTCAAAATGCTGGTTTTAACCCATTACGCCCTAAACGGCTTGAGTCCGAGTTATCTCATACACCCTAAACGGCTTGAGTCCGAGTTATCTCAAAGATAATGTGTCTCCCTTTTATAATGTTACGATCGTCAGGAGAGGCCTTTCTCTCAGTCGCACCACCCTCAAAAGTGTGCTTGGTTGGGGATGCGGGAGAGGGCCTTCTCTGTGGCTGCTCCCCAGACTTTGGAACTCCCTGCCACTGGAGGCCAAATGAGCCCCATCTTGGTTGTCCTTCTGCAAGCAGGCCAAGACCTTTCTCTTCAGGCAAGCTTTCTCTTCGTGTCTGAGAGGGGCTTTTAAGCCATTCCTTGTTGAGTGTGTTTTCGCTATGGATTTTGTTTACCATTTTGTGTGTGTGTTATTTATTTGATCCTTTTTTTAAAAAAGCAGTTATACGCTTCATGTTTTTAGCTTTTCAAGGTTGTCCTTTAAAAAGAACAAAATACGTTTCTGCAAATCTTGGGTGCAATTGCATGCCCAGTTTCCGGTGTACCTTTCCAGTCACGGCATGTAAAAAAAAATAAAGATGCTGTGCACCTGGAGGAGGTGTAGGGAACTTGATCTCTCCCCTGATGACAAATTTGGAAGTTCTGGGGTTATTTAGTGAAGCAAAGAGACGAGTCAGGAGACCTGATAGAACTTGTGCCTCCGAAGCTTTCCATATACCGAAAATATGCTCTGTTCTGGCCGTAGCCAAGCTTGAGAGCCAAATCATGTCCGATCCGGTTTCCGCTGCTCACTCTTGCCTTGGGTCTCTCCCTTCCCGATTTTTTTTTCCAGCAGCGCCTGACCGAAGAGCTCCAAACGATGGAGAACGGTTACCACGACAACCCGACCTTAGAGGTGATGGAGACCTCGGCCGAGATGCAGGAGAAGAAAGTCAACCTGAACGGGGAGCTCGGGGACAGCTGGATTGTTCCCATGGACAGCCTGACAAAGGAGGATCTGGAAGAGGAGGAAGACACCCATTTATAGAGCAGAAAAAAGGGAGAGAGGAAAGAAAAGGAACCTTGAGCTAAGCAAAAAAAAATTAAAAATGGAAAACTTCCACCGTAGCCGCAAGTGCCAATAGGGGGAGGAAGTAATGCAGTTACAGGTTGGGTTGCCTGCCTTGGCCAAATTCTTGTGGGTTTTTGTTTTGTTTTAATCCCATTAACTTTCTAAGCAGCAGTAATATGTGTATGTATGTGTATATACCGTATATTATATTTTAAAGACAGTGCCTCCTATTTAGGCATACCGGAGAGGTCATCCCTGGGCAAACCAGTCAAGGAAGGGATAGAAAGGGCTTTTCTAGATGCTAAGGGACCCATCAGAGCAGGGCTGGCGACATTGGGCATCATTCAGGAGGAGAGTGGTCCTTTCTCAGCCGCGTCGAAACCCGTTTGCAATTTCTGCTCATTTTAATAGGCAGCAGGTTTGCAACCCCTGTGGCTGCAAGAGTCTCACAGGGCATAAAATCTCAGAAGGTGGGTGGGTGGGGGACATTGGAGTAGGAACTTCTGCTCTCAGGAGCCGGGGGTGATTATGAAGTCCGTCCTTGATACGTTATGCAAAAACTAAACCGTGGATGCAGACTGTCAGGATTTGAAAAGTTAAGTGCTCAGGCTGGAGCAGCAGTTGGCTAATAGTGCAGATTTTTGGCTCTAGAGTTCAGGAAACTCTGGCCACGGCAATAGGATCATAGAAAAGTGAAGTTGGAAGGGGCCTACAAGGCCATCAAGTCCAACCCCTTCCTTGGTCAAGGCAGGAATACAATCAGAGCAGATCTGCCAGGTGATGATCTAAGCATTTCTTGAGTGCCTCCAGTGTTGGAGCACTCACCAATTCCCGAGGTAACTGGTTCCACCGTTGTACTGCTCTAACAGTTAGGAAGTTTTTCCTGATATTCAACCGAAATCTGGCTTCTTAGAGCTTGAGCCCATTATTGCGTGTCCTGCACTCTGGGATGATCGAGAATAGATCTTGCCCTTCCTTCGTATGAGAGCCTTTCAAATATATGAAAAGTGTTATCCTATCCCCCCTCAGTCTTCTTTTAGTTCAGGGGACCAATTCTGTCACTTTTCCCTCCCCGACCTACAAACCAGGATATCTCTTTTGTGTATGTGAGAACACTGCAGCAAGAGTGCTGGCCAAGACCCTAGGTGGGTTAGCAGCCCCTTTGATGCTTGAGAGCATCATTTGTAGAACATTTGCATCCTGCATCCCGCCCCTGGGTACCAACCTTGTCTGTGCAGTCCTGATAATGTGCATGCAAAGACCATTCATCTCTGCACCGTGCTCGTCCATCATATGTTGTTCCGGAGCAGATGGAGCTGTGGAACGCAGATGGGTGGAAAGGGTATCGCTTCCATCTTTAGCTCGGAGGAGGAGGAAATGATTTGCAGAGAAAAGTAATGCAAAATGCAAAGGACTTCTTAACATGTGCGTATTATCTATAAAATGTAATCTGTTTTATAGATTATACTGCCTCCCTCAAAGGAGATTGGCTGAGCGGCAAAGAGGATGGATATCCATCAGCCCCTCTGAAAGCAGTAACTTTAAAAAAAATATTCTCTATAAAAAGTTACAGTCATGTTAGCCACCCTTTGCTTTAAAAAAAAAAGGTAGGGTGAAATGGATTTGTGCCTTTGAGATACATAGCTAATCCCATAAAAGAATGCTTCGAGCACTATAGGGCGCTATAAAAGTCAAAACAATAACCATGTTCACATCGGGGGCTACAGTGGGATCCCTTGGGGCTCCACAGGGCTCCCAATTAATAAAAACCACATAGACATTCCCATTTGGAAATGTTTACTTTTGGTTTTTCCATGGCCCAAAATCTGTCATTTCCAGGCTGTCTGCATCTTGCAGCAGAGGCCGGGGACACCCCACCACCCCAAACATGGTTTGGTATGACCTTCATGATGTCTAGATTTCTGGTATGACCAAGATGTAGGTGTTTCTGGGGAGAACAAAGTCAAAAGGGATCTCTCCCATCATACATACTTCAGTCTCAAGCTACACCGTTCTACAAATGAAATACAGTAGGATGGCAGTTTTCACAGAGGACTCGTTCCAAGCTCCTCGTGGAGACCAGGAACGATGGCTATAGCAAAACCTATACAGTATATAGCATCATCTCTGGTTCCCCCTAGTGTCCAGTTCTGATAAAACACCATGGAAATGTATGTTTCTGCTTAATTTTTGTAAATAATATTCTCAGGCAGTAGATAACTGAAACTGTGGTTACTTATCCTGTGGATAGGGTGGTCTTACTGTACATGGAACACTGAGCATTTTATTTACCTTAATTTAGAAATTTCATTAGGACAAAATGCTGAGACCTGCCTAGAACAATAGCATGTTGCACGAATGGCCTTTTTGTAGAAAATATTTTGAGGCACATGCTTCAAGAGAAATTGCAGCCCAGGAAGCGATGTGCTTACAGGGTTTTCATTTGTTTTAAATAGCTCTCATTGTTTTAAATAGTAGCTCTCATTCCTGTGCCAGGCCAAGCTAGTTTTGAAAAGTCATTTGTGTTAATGAATCTCAGGGTTTTGACCTGGAAATGACGGGCGTCAGACTTATTATGAAGCAGGTTCAAACCCTGACCATCCTTGAAACCATAATAACAAATGGGAAGAATGACGCAATGAGTCTTGGTCGGACCTCAAAAAGTCGAACAGGTCTTAATTAGGGCAGAGGAATCTTGGCTGCTTTTCAGAGCTCAACAAGGGTATTCCAACTACAACTCCCAGAATCGCCAGCCACCTTGGCCGCTGACCACACTGGCTGTGTGTGTATGGCGGCTTAGCCCCCCCCCCCCATTTTTAGGGGGTTTTTTTTCCAGGTGTTGTTTTTCCAGGTAGCTGGAAAGCCAGCCATGTTGATCAGATGTTTGGATCCATTTAAGGGGAAAGATGTCACCAGTGAAAGGATCCAGCACATACAGGCACCATGCTAAGGGGGAAGCTTAGCTGTGGTGATAGATCTCCTCAAGCAGCGTAAGGAAAAGGGGGAATTTGTTGCTAGCATGAAGCAGAGGGACATTTCAGAGCAGCTGGGCTGGTTTCGACCCAGGAGCTGAACGACATCTTATGTCTTGTGTTGGACCAGACATGCCGACCCGTTTTTCCAAAGTTGTAAGCTTCACTTCCCACATGTTGAATCAAGCCTGCTACCTTTGATTGTGATGATTTTTTAAAAGTGTTTATTTGGACTTGGTAGAAAGCCCCCAGAACGTCCAAGGACGGAAGCTGGGCTTGCTCCAAACCCATGATCGGTGCCTTTATGTCTTCCGTGAGATGAACAAAACACAAGAAGAGCGCAGGGAATCTCTCCTCCTTCCTGCCGAGACAAATGACTTGAAGGGAAGTGGCTGAAGAGACAGTCCATCCCCATCCTATTCAACAGAGAAAAAGATAAGGATGTGATCAAACACATCGCAATCCCGTTAACAAAAGACACCATAATAGCCTTGGATGAATCAGAGCCTTGGGAGTCCCCAGGGGTGGAGATAACGGAAGGGGCGAGGAGTCTGGGCATTTCCTTTACTCCTGAGAGCTGTGGAGATGGTAAATGTGAGGATGCAGAGCAAAGACTTTTGAGTTCTCCCATCACAAACCGGTGTCTCCTTAACCGTTCATTTAAACAGGAGCTGCTTTTGAATGGGGTGATCCTAATATCACCTCCCGGGCTTTGGGGGTGTAGATTCAGACTGCCGTCTTTATCAGCTTTGATGCGGGTGGTGGCAAGCTTTCGGAAGCCACTGAGTTCTTGCCAGACATCCTCCTACATTGACCCAAGATGTCCCCATGAACTCTCGCCACCCAAGAATTAGTCCTGACCATACAAGGAGTTCAATTATACGCTACCTTCCACCATGTGTGTGTATTTCAGCAATCGGACAATGGGGCAGAAAGAAATCTTATAGGGTAGGGTCTTCAGGTTTGGCTCACTAGGCTACCACAAATCCCCAGTTTTCAGGGATCCCCAAGATGAGGAAAGTTTTAATTTTTTGGAATATAACAGCCTCATATCCCCAGGTCAGTAAGTCAGAAGAGGAAGGAGGGGGGAAAGTGAACAGTTTCCTCCAAACTGCCTGAGGGAGAGAAGGTCAGGTATTAAATGTTATGTCATAACGATACGGGGCTTCTCTTCCAGCAAGGAAGAATTGGAAAAGTTACTTTTTTGACTACAGCTAACCAATTCCTCCAGCCAATAAATACCATGCTAGGGGGATCTGGGATTTTTACTCTGAAAAGCAACTGTTCCAACTACCATTGAATGCATATACTGTATGCACCGTTGTGGAATGGGGAGCAGCAATGTATTCCGGACAGGGCTATCTCCCCCCGACCCTCCCCAACAAATAGCCCAACCAGATGCTAGAAGCTAGAACAGACCGGATGTAGACCTGCTTTTCTTGGAACCAACCAAGCAAGAATGGGCAGAAAAAAGTACAGAAGCACTGTACACAGTAGAGACAAACAGGCATCTGGCAGGAAGGTCTTCAACCAACCTTCCACAACCTGGTGCCCCCTCCAGTTGTTTTAGACCGTGGTTCCCATCCTTGAGACCCCGGATGTTCTTGGACTACAACTCCCAAAAATCCTGGGCCAGCACAGTTAGCGGTGAAGGCTTCTGGGTGTTTTGGTCCAAGAATATCTGGGGTCTCAAGGATGGGAACCACTGTTTTAAGCTATTCAGTTCCATCAGCTCTAACCAGCACAGCTGCTTTCATAAGAAGGGAGGAAGCCAGGTTGCCGAAGGGTAAGCAAATTGCAAGATTCTTGCATGGATAAGGCCATAGGAGTAGATAGTTGCTATATTCCCATAAATCCCATTTAATCACTACGTAATTCATGATAATAGAATTAGACGTTCCCTGTGGCTCCCCAGATATGGTTGGACTGCCAGTCCTACAAACAATGTGTTTTCCTGTCCAAGGTGATATTTCTGTTTGCCGTTATATCAGGCCCAAGAGTGCCCTGTGGCTGTTGATGGGGCCGCCTTCCGCTCACGCAAAGGTGTTCCTGGTTTAACCCCCCCCCCCTTATGCAAACATCATTAGGAGACTCTTGTGGAAAGCACTGTTTCTATTTCAAAGGGACAGGATAGTGGCCCAATAATGCAGCCAGCCAGATGCATTTGTATTTAGAAGTGCTGCAACATGTCAAGCCCAGTAAGAGGAGTTCCATCAGGCTACACCGCTCTGCTCCACTCTGCTCGTTTCTCAGGAACAAAGTCATCACCAAGTTTTAAGAATGCGAAAAAGAGTGTGGCTTGTTGAACAATGTGGCAAGATCAATATAGGAATAGAACAAGGCATACGAGTTGTGGTGCTGGTTTGTGCCAAAACAAACCTAAATGTGTTCCATAATTCACTTCTGCAAAAAGGTTTATGCAAACAGATGTTATGCTTTGGTTAAAAGTAAAGGTTCCCCTTAACATTTAGTCCAGTCGTGTCCGACTCTAGGGCACAGTGCTCCTCTCCGTCTCCAAGCTGTAGAGCCAGCAGTGGTCACGTGGCCAGCGTGACTTAGATGTTATGCTTTGGTTAAAAGTAAATGTTCCCCTTAACATTTAGTCCAGTCGTGTCCGACTCTAGGGCACAGTGCTCCTCTCCGTCTCCAAGCTGTAGAGCCAGCAGTGGTCACGTGGCCAGCGTGACTTGTGCTCTTCTCCATCTCCAAGCTGTAGAACCAGCAGTGGTCACGTGGCCAGCGTGACTGGACACGGAACACCGTGACCGTCCCACCAATCTGGTACCTATTTATCTACTTGCATTTTTACATGCTTTCGAATGGCTAGGTTGGCAGGAGCTGGGACAAGCGACGGGAGCTCACTCTGTTGCATGGATTCGATCTTACGATGGCTGGTCTTCCATCTCCAAGCTGTAGAACCAGCAGTGGTCACGTGGCCAGCGTGACTGGACACGGAACACCGTGACCGTCCCACCAATCTGGTACCTATTTATCTACTTGCATTTTTACATGCTTTCGAATGGCTAGGTTGGCAGGAGCTGGGACAAGCGACGGGAGCTCACTCTGTTGCATGGATTCGATCTTACGATGGCTGGTCTTCTGACCTTGCAGCACAGAGGCTTCTGCGGTTTAACCCGCAGCACCACCACATCCCCACGCTTCAGTTAAAACAAAGGAACAAAATCACCATGAATAAAACTTCAAGAACCCTCTTGGAAACGTGGAATGTGACTTGCCTATTCAATGTTATGCTCCCAGGGAGCAGCGTGTTAAGAGAACCTGTCAATTCGTCTGGATGCCAGTAAAAGGCTTTTCTTAATTGCTTCTTAATATTTTTCTTATGCTTTGTACTATATGAAGGGCTCGACAGTTCTTATATCATGTATGACTACAAACACAGCATGAAGCCGGTTAAGCTGAGAAATGTTATGATTTGTTGCCAACCTAAACAGACGTTTGAATTCGGGACTCCCACATTCCGAACCAGCGTGGCAGCAGGGCATTTTGCTGGCCTTTCAAAGCAAGTTGAAACAAGACGATGCCATATATAAAGCCCCTTTTGCTTGTAAGATAAAGCCTAAACCCTCCTCTTCCAATGCTGTACAGGTTTTGCAGTGCAAAGGTATTGCATTGAAGCAGGAGTCTAATGTACACTGGAGTTCTAATAGGAACTGGATTGTAAAGATTATTGTTGCATTTTCCTACAAAGAATATTTTGAAGACAGCATTTATTTCCACCAATAAAAAAAATTCTTTTTCTGAAATACGATTTTTTCCCCCTCCCAAATTCAAGTAAGACAGAAGGGTTGTATGAAACCATTGTTTTCCAGTCTTGTAACATTATTTGCGTAATCATTTCCCTCCAAATTTGTCAGCACAAAGCAGGCTTACCTCTCGGGCTCAAAAATTGGCAACTTGTGATGGGTTGGATTCAGAGCCTTTTGTGTCTGAAGGTTCCTCTAGTGTGAGCTCCCTTAGAGGTCTGTTAGGCTAGGGGTCCCCAATCCCCGGACCGTGGCCCGGTGCCGGTCCATCACCTTGGCTTGGATTCATAGAGCCTTTTTGTGTATGAAGTTTCCTCCAGTGTCATCTCCCTTAGAGGTCTGTTAGGCCAGGGGTCCCCAACCCCCGGTCCGTGGCCCGGTGCCGGTCCATCACCTTGGGAGGACCGTGCCATGGAGACAGCCCCCCTGCACACACGCTAAAGCAGTCCACAGTGCCAAAAGGGTTGGGGACCACTGTTAGGCAACACAATGGAAATAAAGGTATTACACACAGTAACAACCCTTTTGTAGAAGGTATGGGTTAATCCAACTGCAGTCATTGAATCCACAGTTCCATTTCCAACTAGAAATGTAGCAAATCCAATCCCCCGGATCTATAGCTCGAGGTGCAGAAAGGGGCAGCCAAAATGGAACAAGGAGTTGGAGGCATCTTCTCTTCAATTGCTGGCTGGATAGCCGCCTGCGAGAAGAGCCAGCCTGTGTAGCCTTGGGCCAGATGCACAATCCCAGGGGAAGGGAAGGCGAAACCCCTTCTGAGCCTGCTCTACCTGGGAAACCCTTTTGCGATGAACATCACAGGCTTGGAAGGTGGAGATAACAAAGGTCCTGAGGAGGAGGAGAGCTATCAAAGGTTAGTAAAGAGGATAATTAAGCAGTCCATCCATGTTCTGAAGCCAGGAACCTGTGAGTACTGAATATTGCAGGACTACCGTCTTCCTGATAGATCTGGGTTGCCTCTGGGGACCCTTCAATCGACACAGCAAGGGAATGTCTCAGAGCTGAGAAACACTACTTTTTGGACTATTTCAATCGACATAGCAGAGCTGAGAAACACTACTTTTTGGACTACAATTCCCAAAATCCCCCTAGCCAACAGATTCTGTGAGTTGTACTCCAAAAAAGTGCCTCTTCCAAGCTCTCTGACGCTCGGACATCTGCTATTCCTCAACTGAGCTGCTTGATTTAAGCATACATACAGGCTACCAGTTTATAGCGTTTGCAGTCAAGAAGAGTTGACTGAAGTAATTTACAGACCAGGAGCACAAGACTTGGCATAATTTTTTTATTAAGAAAAAAATGAACAAAATACATTCTCTCTCCGTATATACATTACATACAGCATAATTCTACATTGGTAATTGCTCTCATCTCATTCCAAAGTAATTGTTACGTACTACTTCGACCTGGGATCACGACCATTCACCGTACGACAAGACGGGAGGGGCAGAGAGGAGAAACGCAAGGAGAGACTAACAACAAGCAGAGAAAAGAAAGGTCTGAAGACAGACAAGAGCAGCGAACGCAGCAGGAGAGGAAGAGTCACACAACAGCCCTTGATCTCGGCACCTTGGCTACATAATTCTACCCACTCTTAAAAATCCTAACTAGCAGACATCTCACCCTTGTGCGGTTGGTTTCAAGCCATGCAAAACATTCTTAAGTGCCATCTACAGAAGGTACAACCATCATCCAGTCCTCTTGCCATAGACATCACCAAGCCGTGGCTTCTGATCCAGTCATGGCATCACAGCAAAGAACAGGAGGTAGATTATGGGAACAGGTAAGTGCCGTGGAGGTGGAAGTGGAAGGATCTGGCCCACTGGGGCACGGTCACTTTCAAATGCCTGCTGTCCTACACAGGCCCCACTGAAATGGAGATCTCCCATGTGACAGCTTGCATTTCATGTTGGCAAACTGGGTGGTGGCGGGGGCTCATGGTCCACCTTCCTCTGATCCTACCGTTTTCTCAACTTTGATTACATTATTAACCAGGCCATTTTCTCCCTATGAGAGACACTGCATTTGGGACACTTGCTGTAGGGACTAGAAGTCTGGCTTGCACTGAGGATGAAATGGAAGCCAGGTGTAAAGAACGACCTTTGAAAAGAAGGAAAAGAAACCAGCAACTTCGCAGTCTTCCCATATTTCCACTTTTTAAACCTCTAGAGAAGGCAGTGGCACTGAACAAATTGATTTGCTGATGGGTCCCCAATGGAGCAGTTCAGACTCAAACAAGCATCCCAAGCCTAGCCAGAAAGGGTAAATGTGTACGTGCATTTATACCACTTTGTCACTGCTTCCTGTAAAGAATTGTGGGGGGTGTTCCTGACTATAAAAGATTATCCTTATTTCTCTACCTGAGACTTGAGCTTCCTAATCTCCCTCACGAGAGACTGCTCAACCGGCTAAACAAGTATGGACACATCTCACATGTCACACAATTTCATCTCTCTTGAATGCACCTCTTTCTGAGCGTTAAAAAATGTGAAATGTTCCTGCTGTGGTCAGCGGCAAAACCAATAATGATGCACTTGTGTTTTACTAAATCTGCAGCAAAGCAATAAAGAAGCCAGGAGTCATGCAATATACACCCCAATCATTCAAGAGTGACAGGGCAGAAACAAACGCTCATTTCCAAACCCCAAAAACCAAGCCAACAGAGATGATAAGTCTAACCTTCTCACCTGCAAACTGCCCACTTAGATCCGCATCAAAATTATGAATCAGCACACAAATCAAGTTCTCGTCTTTAAATTAAGTGACTTCCAATTTTATCAGATAGGTAAGTGCTCTTGCCCACCACCAGACCACCTTCAGCTTTTTGTTTGTTGTTAAACCAGGAATTGTGGTTTAACACTAACTATGGTCTGTTTCAAAACCAGGCTGCTCCTAATTCTGGATTATGAAGCTGGCTTTTTCATGCAAATCATAATCCTTGCAAAAGCTTCCAAAGCGGACCTTCCAGCTGTAGGGTTAGTAGGGGGATGGGGGAGTTGCAAGCCAGATGTTTGCTGCAGTTTGGGGATACCACGCAAGCCAGCCTTTCTCAACCTGCTGTGCTGCAGATGTTTGGCACTACTGATAGCTCCCAAGCAGCATGACCAGCAGTGAGGGAAGCTGGGACGACGGCAAGATGGGGATGACATGGCTTATTCTTATGCTTTAAACATTGCTGCATAGTGCCAGCAAATGCTGGCTTCCACAGAACCACTGCATTAGTGCCAGCATCTAGCTACACCAGTGGTTCCCAACCTTGAGTCCCCAGATGTACTTGGACTAGAACTCCCATAAACCTTCGCCACTAGGATGGGCTGGCCAGGATTTCTGGGAGTTACAGTCTAAGAAAAATTGGGGGCTCGAGGCTGGGAACTACTGAGCTACACAGACTGTCTCCTGATTACATTTTATGAAATCAACCCATTAGAAAGTGTCCTTCAGAAATTTTAATGACTCTATGCTTTCACTACTTAAAACCTTTGGGGAAAAGCCTCAAAATTTCACACTTGTTTGTTTCCATTTAATGCTAATAAGCCAAGCGCTGCCATTGGGCCCTGTTTATTCATTCCATACAGGATTTCAGGCCACCGACTTAAGTACTGCCCCCAAGAGATTCCTAACACTGCTGTGAATCAAAATTTGTTCTCCTGTACAAGCAACCAAAAATTGGCCCAAATTAAGCTCATATGGTTTTTACCAGCTGCTTTTGCAAAGGGGAAAGTTTAACCAATTTGGATTCTGAACTCTAAGGAGTCAAAATATTGTTTTTCTCCTTGCAGAAAAAATCTTCTAAACATCAAACTCATTAATTTGAACTGAGATCCACAGTCTTTTGCTCTTCCCTCCTCTCCAGTATGCTTCATCTTCAACGACTTAAATTTACAAAAAAGTGAAGCCCAGGGATTTCAACATCCTGATTCCTCATGGGTTCAGAAAAGGGATCTGAATTCTCTCGGAACTGAAAACACAGACGATGTCCTGTTTCAACCAGAAGCCTCCAAGCTTCTGCATCATTTATTTTAAAACAATAATGTATATAGATATACCAGTTAATTTAAGCTGTACCTTTTCGTAGATCTTGCTACCACTGTTTATAGACCAAAAATCCTGCACTCCACTAATGTCCATTCACACACTGGCAGCAAAGTTTGGTGTGAAAACCTGAGGGGCAGAGCACGGAAAGGAAGATACACAATCCCCTGTTCTCATTATGTGCATGTAGGTATGCCGCTGAAAGCATTAAAAACCTATGTTTTAAAGAGACCAAGTGCATGGAACAAACGTGTGCCTTTAATGGCACCACAACAGGATACACCTGAGCTGCTGCATCTCAAGCAGAAGTGGAAACTCTGTAGTGCACGAGCCACACAACGCCGACCAAGGCTTCCAGGCAGCCTCTATGTCCCCCTGGATGCTCCTCCTCCTTCACCACCACCACCACCATGGAGAAAATGGCAAAAAAGAACAAAAATCATGAAATCTTTGAGAGTCAAGTGTTAATATTATCCCCACAATGGATCAGCGCCAGAAAACCTCCCCTTGCTTTCCACCGTGAGTGACCTGATCACATTACAAAAGGAACCACCTGTGACAAACAAGGTGGCGTTCCATAGATGGGTTTCGCAAGATCTCCCCTTTTCTTTCTTTCTTTCTTTCTTTCCTTCTTTCCAAGACATGGCCCTCATGGTAACAGATGTGAGCATCTGGGGATTAAGAGGCCCATGGTGCCTGTATATGCTGGATCCTTAATTTCCATTCCAAGGATGCTCCACCCAATCTCACGTTGCCTGTGTTTTATCGCTACAAACATGGACCTGAACCCAGGCAGAGTGGGGGAAAGATATATCTGTATAGAGCACAAAAGCTTCAAGGAGGAGGTCAGGATACACACCACATCTTCTCCACCACCACCCCCCATTCTGCAGAGGAGGGGTACGTCTCTGTATTCTTCTCAAAACCTTTGCCCTATTCAGATATCTGGTAGGCAGGTGGGCTGAATGATGGACAAGAGAGAATGCTCTACTCCTTCCAGGTCAATCCAGGAAGGCTATCCACCCAAACCAGAACACAGGGAAATCAAGGTTTTGGCTTCTGTGGACAGACAACATGGGCTACCAGGTCTCCTCTCTTTCAGACCTGCCACTTGCAATGAACAGTAAAACAATGGCAGAGGGGGGAAAGCTAACATCTTCTCTTCCCCCCCCCCCGTTGCCCATTTTAGCTAGCCTGGAGGCTCTTAACAAGGCATGTTCTGTTTTATAGACAGTCTGGCCCTGATGGCATTCATAGTCCTGTCCCTCAGCAAGAGCCATGTGATTCAGCAGAGGGCACGAGATGGCTTCTCCCAAACTAGAAGGGCCATGAATTTGCTCGCACAGTCACGCGGCAGGGCAGACGTGAGTCAGCAGAGAAGGAGACAGACACACGCGGGCACACAGGCCACCTCATGTACAGCAGCCATCTGCTGCTAATGGAAACAAACACTGAGAGTGAAGCTCAAATCAGCAAAGAACGAGTGGGGAGAAAGAACATGACAAAGCCAACCCCACCCAGCCCCGGCAACCCCCAAATGCTCTAAACCATCATCAGTTCCAAGCACCCCAGGGACCTGGGCAGTATAAACAACTCAGATAGCCATGTGATTGTTTTCTTCTCGACAGTGTTCATTAACCTTCAAAAAGTCAAAGTCAGAAAATATATCTTTTTTTTATCTCTCCATTGGAAGTATGTCCATTACTTTCCTTTTTTAAAAAATTCCAATTAGTGTATAATCCCATTTGGTATCACCCATAAAGCCCCTTGCAAAGGTGGGTTCCTCTATTCCTACGGTCAACCAGTCACTCAGCCCATGTGTGCACACACACAAACACACACACACACACACACACACACAAACAAAAAATTAAAAATACTGAAAGCCAAACAATGTCCTTCCCATCCTTCTGTGTCTCTGGCCAACAACGGCCTCGTCACAGCGTAATGAGGTCCACCAGGTTGCCCTTGGGAGGCGTCATGTTGTCGGGAAAGAAGTTCACTAAGGTATCAAACAGCTGAGTTCGTTGGGCATAGATGTGGTCGACATCCGAAAAACCTGAGGACAAAGAAGAAGTGCAAGAAGGCTTACTGGCTTATTCATCGGGTATATTCATACCCTGCTGTCCTCCCGTGTGATCAAAGCAGTGTACACGGTTCTTCTCCGTGCGCGCACCCACCCAGCATCCTAATCCTGTGAGGCAGTCCAGCTGAGAGAGAGTGACCACCTACTCAAACATCACAGAATCCTAGAATCAATTAATAATGGAGTTGGAAGGGGCCTATACAACCATTGAGTCCAACCCCTGTCCTTGCGCGGTGCAGGAATCCAAATCAAAGCAGATTGGACAGATGGCTGTCCATTTTTCTCTTAAAGGCCTCCAGTGTTGGAGCGCTCACCATCTCCTAAGGTCACTGGTTCCGTTGTCGTACTGCTCTAACAGTTAAGAAGTTATATTCAGCCCAAATCTGCGGAGCCCATTAGGATGTCATTCCCTGTGTTTCACAGTTCAGTGCAGCTGCTTGGTCCTCAAAGTTTCTACCAAAGCTGTTTCGGAGGAAAGCCAACTGCACAGACTTCAGAGACACAAGGCCTTGCACTATCCATTTTCACAGCATCAAGTGTGCTAGGTATTTTATCTCTGGCTGTACTAAAAAGGGGACTGCATTCCAACATACAAAGCTCCTTTACAATCAAGACTATTGGCTTGCCCAGCCAAGTACGACTGAACCCCCAACTCCAGCAGGGCTCCAGACGGTCCCGCAGTGATTGCTCCCCAGCTCTGACAAAGTTCTGTTCAGATGGAGCTGCAACAGGGACTACCTCGGACCTTTTTGGTGCAAAAGCCTGTGCTTCCTCGGCAAATGTCTTTTAACATCCGAGCTCACAGCCTTCTCTGCATAGCAGAATGCACAATCAGAACTCTTTGGTTTAGGGAGCTGAACCGTGACCCCAGCATCGTGCTTCCCTTCACTGGCAGGAGGCTGCGGCTGGTCACGGGGAAAGAAAACCATGGGAGTCAATCCTTGCTCATCAAGGATGCTCCCAAGGTACCTGGGCCAGTCACTCCCTCTTTGTCCGAGTGACCTCAGAGGGCTATATTTGGAGGACAGTAGTTCTAACCCTTCTTTTCTGGTGCCTTGCTCAGCTATTACCGGCCACTGCAATGAAAGGTGGCCATGTACTTTTTTCCCCCTCCCACTTTGTTTAACTGCGAAGGAGGTGTTGCTACAGTTGACGAAGCTAAACTTTCAATTTGTAGTTCTGGGAAGTTTAAATGTTGCAGTATTCCTTTGTCATGATGCCCCAGCAGAGCAAGCCTTCTCCAGAACTGAGAAGAGAAGACTGAAATCACTTCCATCAATGGTGCCCACAGAAAAGCGAGTTCAGATTTCCCCTCTCCCTGTCATCACACCCTATCATCTACAGTACTAGCTTCCCAGGATGAGTTAATTGCATTTGACCAATGCATCCACCCTTATGCGGTTCACACCACTGTGCTGTGTCTGGAGTCAAGAGTTTGCAAGTGATTTCATGACATTTCTAGGGATTTAAGGCAGAGGCTTTTTGAGACGGCCACAAAGCGACAATCCCGGCCGATCGGAAACATACTCACCCAGCGTGCTGAGAGACGACCCAGACTTGAAGAGGGCTGAAGCAAGTAGCTGAAACTGAGAGAAAACGGGAGGGTTTTTAAAAAGGGCTTTCAGTGTTCTTTGGTGGCCACTGGTGGGGGGGGGGCTCCTTGATCAATAACCATTAAAGCAATTTGGTGTTTGGTCAGCAGGAAGTGGTTTTCTGATACTTTGCCAGCCCAACTGAGGGTCTGCACTCTACTGACAAGGAGCCCAGGAATCACTGGCTCCCATCAGCTCAGAATGGGGCAACTCTCTCTTTCAAAAAAGCCGCTTCTGCTGAAGGCCATCCTTCATGGCCGTCAGTGACACAGCCAAATTAGCCGTAAAAGCATGAAGGCTCAGGGTGGCCCAAAACCAAGCCCTGAGTACCGGAGAAACTCAACAGGAATAATGATTAGCATCATCTATGGCATGGTGGTGTTGTTGAGTTTCAATGCAAGGCAAGACTAGGAACCCTTCGAGGAATTACGAAGAGGGTGCTGCTTGTTAAGGAACATGTGAAGCAGCTTGGATTGGCTGGAAGGGGCTCAGCAACGGGGGCTCAGCAGCTTCGGGTTAAAGGACGGCCAGCAAACAGTAAAAGGAGTCAGGCTACACTGATAAGCTACTGTGCTCGTCCTAAACGAAGTCATAACCACTGAAAATACCACATAGCACCTTCAGTACATATGACAGTTTTATCCCTCAAAGAATAATCTAAATGGCAAATTAAGAGCCACAGACAAGGAGAAGAGAGTAAGAAGAACAAGGTACTTCAAAGAAACAATTTAAGGGTTTGTGGCACAACCTGTCCAATACAGGGCACACTGAACTTCTCTCTAGAGTGCCATAACATGGATGTTCACGAAGCGGAAAAATGGAGCTAGCTTTCCAGCACATTGGTACTGTACTGCTTCCGCGTACAGATGGGCACTTACTGCAGCTTGGCATGGTTTAGCAGATCAGGATCATAGGTGTGATGCGCGTGGACTGGATTCCCTGCCCTCCCTCCTCTTCTGAGTGGGTGCCAACAGGAGGCGGCGGGGTGCCCATGCAACACCTGTGGGCCCGATCCACTGAGTGCCACCCCCCAATCCACGGGGTGGCTACACAACACCTGTGGGCCTGACCCGTCCATGTTTACAGCGGAGAACATTCACGCAGCAGCCAAGGCTACTCTAGCAACATCACAACATGACTTTTTCCCACAACAAAGGGAACGGAGGACAAGCTTGCCCATCCCCAGGCATACCTCTTTTGTCTCCTCCGGGTCTGAGTGATCAACAGTGACAAATAAGTCATTCTGCAGGTATTTCAGGGCACTTAGCGGGTCTGTCTGGGCTTTCTCTTCAAACCTGCAAAGATCAGAGAGGCAAGGATTTAGTGTTACAGAGGCTGGAGATGGCTTAAGAGATTTTACTTCCATCTCCCTTTGAAAGCTGTTCTGTGAAAGAGACCACCGCCTACTTAAGGGATTCAAAGCTTAAATGGCCATCATTTCTGGAGGGCAATCAAAACTCCATGTGGAAAAGACATGCAATGTTTTTCATGGCTGAATCAGAGAGAATTGCCAGGATTATCTCTGACAGAACCTATTTAAAAACTCAGGAACAGATGAAAACAAGAAATTTTCACTTTTTTTACACTAAGGGAGTGTCTGCAAACAACTGAGATTCACACACCTTGCTTATGTGCAAAAACTTCAATAAATGCATGCAAACAGACACAGAGGAGGGACAGAGCAAGAAAGAACTAAAGAAGGCAGCCCAGTTAAGGAGATTTATTCTTGAGAACATTTGCCTTTATGGGAATTTTAGGTTTGCACTTGAAGAACACAGACACCCTCAAACACATAAAGTAAGCTCTTCAAAGGTTTAGGACTTCTACTGCTTAATAATAAGTACCTAACGAGTGACTGCTTCTCCATCTCTCCCATGCTTCAAAAGAGCTCAGGGAGAAATGCCAAGTCTTCCGTTCTTACAACCTGGTCCCCACCTCCCAATTTTATCCTACCTAAAGGATGGCCTATTGGAGTCAAGCCAGTGAATGAGGGTTGTTGGTTTTTGTTTGAAAGAGCTGAGCTGCATCTGACTTAGAGATCTGGCAAATCCATTGTCTCCGAGAACCAGAAGAAGGGCTCTTCCCCCTCCCCCAGCACAAGAAACACCAACTTGGTTTCAATTATTTTGCTTGATAATTTTTAAACGTCCACGTAACTGTTGATGTTTGATGTTTCCTAGTCCCCACCCCATCTCTCAGGACAAAGGAATGGCCTCCAACAATGTCTTCTCCCCAGTTCTACATCAGCAGCTGCAGCATCCTCATCTAGGAACCTAGGCTCATCGTGGGTGACCAGAGACATTGGCAATCCTTACACTGTCAAACAACGGGGCCCAAGGAAAAGGAGCCTGCGCCACTGAAAGCCTCCTTCAGTCCACTAGCTAGGAATGGAGTGGGCTATGCACCTGCAGTGAAAGGACCCCTTCGACTAGAATTGTGGAATGACCTCACTTAAAGCTCACTGCTCAACTATGCAAATCTTGGGGAAAGGCACTCAGCTGAGGTTGCATTCTATTTAGGGATGCGACAAATACTTGCAGAATTTCTCACACTCTGCAATTTTCCAAGTCTCACCATGCCAAGACTTTCACTGCATCAGCAAGGTTTGCTGGCTTCCAGCAAAAATAAGGCCCTATCGTCCCCGGTCTAATGTTCTCTTCCCCTACTTTCTCCATCATTGTGCACTTGTCAAATTCTGTTGCAGGTAGTGCCCTCTTCACCAAATCCTGCACAGGAGTGATGGTATTCGGTGCAGGACTTGACATTAATCTTGTGCTGCTAGGTGTTTATTGTCACCCCCTCCAGATGACTCTTTCACAGGAACAAGGCCATTCTGTGCAGGAGTATTTCCAATCCTGCACAGCTGGACATTTCCTTTGGGGAAAAAATGGACCAAAAGCTTCCAAGAAACCAAATAAATTGTCTGACAATTTGTCAATGGCTGCCGGAAGCCTTCTAAATTTTACCTAAACATAGCCAGGGTTAGGCCCTGATTTATGAGCTCCCTGAAAAATGCAGTAATAGATTTTAAGAATTCTAAGAAGGCAGTTATTTGGAAACCTGAGGCTTGTTGTTGAATAAAGCTGAGAGATGATTATTCGTACAAATGCTGCATTCATTCTGCATGCCCTTGTTTCTGACTACAAAGGGACCTGCAGCTCCTGCCGTCTCCCGAAGATCACCTGTACCTGTGCTTCCTTATTAGGTATTTGCAATGGCGTAGCAGGTATTCCTTGGAAGGCCGACAAAGCTTCAAGGACCAGAAGTCGTCCAGCCGCATTTTTGGAGAACAAGATTTGCCTGGATTCCCTCCAAACAAATAATGAACCTTGGAAGACAAAAATGAAAATGTGTGACCATAGGCAGCAGTGTGGTTCAATCAAAACTCTGGGGTAGGGACCACAGCCTTCAAAGTGCTCTCCTGGAAACAACACATCTCCTGCAGTCTGTCTTTTGTGGTGGCCACTCATATATCTGGCTCGGCCAGCATACGGATTGCACCTATACTGTATTTTGCACTCAAAAATGCAAAAGCGTAAAGCCCAGTATCCCCCCTCCTGTTATGTACAAGAGGACCAAGGATGATGCAGCCTCTAGAAAGGGGATACAGATATGCACGTGTGTTCCACACACATATACACACAGAGTCCTAATATTTCTGGCCAGGAAGACAGAACTAGTTGTGATCTATTCAACTACCATCTGTAGACTCCCCAGGGGAAACTACAGTTAGTGAAAGGCCCAGGAGTGGTTCCAACATTGAACAACCAGTGATCATATGGGACAGGCAAACACGCACTCCATATGCAGCAGACCCAACAGGAAGTCGAGGGGTATATTGTTGCTGTGGCCATTCCTACAGAAGTCAGTGAAACAAATCAAGAGGAAGATAAAAGTGAACCGTATGCTGGGAACACAGAACCAATCAGCAGGCTGTGCAAATGAATCCAGGATGAAACCAGACCCTATCTCCCAGCCCTCTCTTGCCCTGGGCTTCAAGTTAATGTGCCTTCCTCTTCACCTCCAGGAAACACGGACCTAAATGAGATGAAGTCTGAGCATCCTCGGTATCTGGCTTGCCTCCCTAGAGACTGGACCGCTTCCAATGAACAAAGCAGGCTATGTAAGAGCAGGAAACGGATCCGTCCTCTCTCAACAAAAGGTCAAATGATGGATGCAAGGATCTGATGCCCCTTGTCATGAGACCTCTGGGTAGCCTCCCTCTTTCACACTGGTGTGTGTGTGTGTGTGTGTGTGTGTGTGTGTGTGTGTGTGTGTGTGTGTGTGTGTGTGTGTGTGTGTGTGTGTGTGTCTGTGTGTGTGTGTGTCTGTGTGTGTGTGTCTGTGTGTGTCTGTGTGTGTCTGTGTGTGTGTGTGTGTGTGTGTGTGTGTGTGATGGCATCATGATCCTAGAGTGCCACCATTGCGCATCAAGAGGCGTTCATTCCGTTGACCCAACCTAACCCCTAAGCATAGCGACAGGCTCACCTTGTGTAATTCGTCATAGACAAGCTGGTGTGCAAAACGTGGGCAGGGCTCCTCCTCCTGAAGGCTTTTGCTTGGATTCTCTTTGGCGGCTTGATCGTTCTTGTAGACACAAGACCTGCAAGGTAGTATTAACTGAAGCACTCCGGACCATCTTAAGGGACTACAAGTACAGCATGTTCTCAGGCAAACGTGCTCTTTAGTAAGAGCTTAAAACAGCAACAGTCCATTCACCAAATAAAGGCTTGTCAAAACTGGGGCTGTCCCTTATAAAATATATTCTTCATCTATACATTCAAAGTTTTACTCTGAAAATTAAAGGAACTTTAGAGGACGGCAGAAGAAGAGCCAACAGTGCTGACAAGATGCTTCACAAAGCAAGAGAGAGAAATCAAACAATCTAAGAAAAAATGCTTCTGAAAATTCCTGAAGGAAGGAGCCTGTCAAGAGATGTTAGCTATGTTGTTAGCAGCATGGCAATAAAACAAATGATCTCGAGAGGTGGGGAGTGCTCCAACACCGGAGGCATTCAAGAGAAATTTAGACAACCACCTGGCAGATATCCTTTGATTTGGATTCCTGCACTGAGCAGGGGGTTGGACTTGATGGCCTTAGAGGCCCCTTCCAGCTTCACTATTCTATGATTCTATGCTAGCTAAATTGTTATTGTTTAGTTGTTAAGTCGTGTCCGACTCTTCATGACCCCATGGACCAGAACATGCCTTCTGTCTTCCACTGCCTCCCGGAGTTGGGTCAAATTCAGGTTGGTCGCTGTGGGCATGTTAAAGGTAAAGGTTCCCCTTGACAATTTTTGTCCAGTCGTGTTCGCCTCTAGGGGGCGGTGCTCATCCCATTTTCCAAGCCATAGAGCCAGCGTTTTTGTTCGAAGACAATCTTCCGTGGTCACATGGCCAGTGCGACTTAGACCCTGAATGCTGTTACCTTCCCACCGAGGTGGTACCTATTGATCTACTTGCATTTGCATGCTTTCGAACCGCTAGGTTGGCGGGAGCTGGGACAAAGCAACGGGAGCTCACTCTGTCGCGTAGATTCGATCTTATTACTGCTTGGTCTTCTGACCCTGCAGCACAGGCTTCTGCGGTTTAGCCCGCAGCGCCACCACCTTGTTGTTAAAGAATTAGGAATCAGCAATCCTTGCTGATGTACATCAAATCATCTAACCTATCAGAAAATGTTAAGGACTTCTACCAATGCTGACCCTTTAGACTTCTCTCAGTGACCCATTAATGCCGGAAACATTTTCTTCTTTCAAAAACACTGAAATGCTTGGCATCCCTGACACTATGCCAGAAACGAGATACCAACAAACTCCATGTCTTGCAGAAGTAAATATCTGGAGGAAGTGTGTTCCAAGTTGCACATACAAAAATGTCTGCTTATTTTGCCATATTTGTAAGCCATCTGCCAACAAAAGTCCCCTGCACTTTTTCCGATCAAAGTTATCTGAGCAAACAACTCTTCTAAAACCTCTGTCTTGCTTGCATGAACAGAACAACATTAACAGAGGCAAGTGAACGTGTTTCTAGCGCACCCCATATAAAGAGATATAAAGATAATTTAATCTGACTTCTAGTGGTTCACTTTCCTGTACCTGTCATCATGTTACTCTGGGTAGCTTTACCCGTGGATATGGCAAGCTGCTGCCCTGGAGGGAAATACAGCTTCCGGGCCACTAAGTGCAAGAACAATTAAACAGAGCTGTTTTTCCTCCACTTCTATGGGTCAAGAAGAGAGCCAACTCAGTGTCACTTCCATTTACACCAGATCAGAGTGATGCGAGATCTCACACTACATGTTGTCACCTCACAGGTGTACATACACACTTTCAGTCTCCCATCCAAAGGGAAACCCTTTTGCCCCTTACCAGCTGTTTCGTACAATATCATAAATCCAAAAGGAATTCCGCACGTTCTCCTCCCTCTTCTCTTTGTCTTTACTGAGTCCAGACAATACGTGGATTTCATTCAGTTCTGGATCGATGGTAGCTCTTTGGGTGAAGCCTGTCATTGGAACTGTAAAGGGTGGCGGGGGGCAGGGGTGGAAGAAGAGTGGAAGAGAGAAAGAAAGGTTACTTACCTGTAACGATGGTTCTTCAAGTGGTCATTCTGTGAATTCACACAAAGGGTTAATACCAGCGCCAGCGTTGGGCCTCTCGGAACGTTTTCTAGCTGCAAGAGAAAAGTAACAATGTTTAGGACTACCCCTACTGCGCACGCCCAGCCTAACCGTCCCTCAGTTCCATTTGTCCGCCATAGGCCCTCGAGTCATAGAGATGCCAGTGACAGACAGACAGAGGGGAGGCCGGGCGGGATTGTGTGAATTCACAGAATGACCACTTGAAGAACCATCGTTACAGGTAAGTAACCTTTCTTTCTTCATCGTGGTCTTCTGTGAATGCACACAAAGGGTGATTAGCACGCTTACTAACCGGATGGTGGGCTGTCACTGAAGAGCCGATGCTAGCACTGCCCTCCCGAATTTGGTCTCCTCTTTTGCCCTCACGTCCAATCTGTAGTGGGTTATGAAGGTAGAGGCATTAGACCACGTAGCGGACCGGCAGATGTCGGGCAGGTCGACGCCACGAAGTAAGGCAGTGGAGGAGGCAACAGCCCGGGTGGAATGGGCTTTAAGTCCCTGTGGAGGATCTCTGTGGTTGAGCTCGTAGGCAAGGGCGATGGTAGACACGAGCCACCGAGAGAGCGTGGACGGCGAGGCCGGGCAACCCTTCTTAGGGCCAAAGTGGCAAAGGAAGAGTCTGTTGGCCAGGCGAAAGTCCTTGGTCCTGGACACGTAAAAAGCTAAGGACCGTCGAACATCGAGCATGTGGAGCATGCCTTCAACATCAGTCGTCGGGGACGGAAACAAAGTTGGCAGAATAAGTGGCTGATTGACGTGGAAGTCGGAGACCACCTTAGGAAGAAAGGAGACGTCCAGGTAAAGCATAACCTTGTCCTTAAAGAACTGAAGAAAAGGTTGGTCATG